GTAGCCCAGGCTGGCCTCGAACTCACAGAGATCCGCCTGGCTCTGCCTCCCGAGTGCTGGGATTAAAGGCGTGCGCCACCACCGCCCGGCCCAGAGTGAGTTCTTACACAGTCAGGGCTACCCAGAGAAACTCTGTCTCAAAAAAAAAAAAAAAAAATCTTGTTAGAGGCCAGTTTTATTGTAGATGGAATAGCTAACTGCTATTCTTATCTTTGTGTATCATGTACAGGGGTTTTCTAGATTGTCCTTTTTATTTGTTTGGGGTGCGGTTTCTTGTTTGTTTCTTGTTTTTATTTTTATTTTTCTGGCAAGGTCTCATCTGTAATCCAGTCCTTGAAATCACTATGTAGCCAAGGATGATCTTGAACTCCTCATCCTCCTCTCATATCTGAGACTAGACACTCACTACTGTGTCAGTTATAATAAGTGATATGACAGTCCTGGACTAGCTCAGTCTTTACTCTGAGTGTATTCGTGGAATGAGATTAAGGGAAAATGACATTTTATTTGAAGAAATTTATAGATTCCTTGAGAACATTGGATAGACTGAAATAAAAGATTCAGATAGATCATTAGAGGTTGCTCATCAAAAGAACGCCTCTTTAATTGGTTCACAGGTTAGCTTCTGTATGATGCGATGTCCCACTTCTTACATAGATTAATGCCTGAGTCATGTGGGCTCTGGGAAGATCAGTAGGGATATATGCTGTCATGATATAGAGGAAGAGCGTCTCATAAACTTGTATTGAGGGCACACTGTGTGTATGCTTGTGAACATGCTGCTGATGGAGGCCAGAGTTGTCAACCTGCCAGCAACCCCAGAGTGTAATGCACAGGGAACATGGACTTAGCGAGGGGCCGGAAGAGGCGTGCAGACCAACAAAGGCCGTGGGGAGTGGAGGATGGAGTAACGGTCTAATGTTACCAGGTCACGTTTGTTTGTGGAATGACCTTGGGCAAGTTACCTAGTGACTGGCTTCAGTTTTGTTTTGGAGGAAAAGAGAAAAAAAAGATACTTGTTTTCCCTTGTCACTCAGGGGTGCTGGAGACTTCAGACATAAAGATAGTTCTGTGAGATGGCTCAGTGAGAAAGGTACTGAAGGCCACCAAGCTTGACAACCTAAATTTGATCCTCATGACTTACATGGTGGAAAAGAAGAACCAATTACCCCCGAGTTGTTTTGTTTTTTTTCAAAGCAAGGTTTCTTTGGTAGCCTAGGTTGGCTGTCCTAGAACAAGCTCTGTAGAACGAACTGGCTTCAAACTCAGAGATCCGCCTGCCTCTCTCTGCCTCTAAGTGCTGGGATTAAAGGTGTGCACCACCACCACCACCACCACCACCCAGCAATTTAAAAAAGCTTTTTAAAAGACATTTTAAAAAAAAGAAAGAAAAGAAAAAAAACTTTAGTTTCTTTGAAGGGCTTTGCATTTGCCATAATAAGATTTATTAAATAGCTTTATTGAATTTTATTCAACAATATATAATACAAGGCTGAGGGTATGGTAAGAATGGCCAAGAGCTTGGGGTGCTTTTGGTTTTAATTAATTATTATTATTGTGTGTGTGTGTGGTGTTGTGAGTGCCGATACACACATACCACAGTGCACTGTAGAGGTCAGAAGACGGTTTTCAGGAATTGCTTCTACCTTCCTCTATGAGTTAAGGATCAAACTCAGGTCATCATGCTTGGAGGTATGTGCCTTTACCCACTTAGCCATCCTGCCCACCCAGGTTGGTTGGATTCTTAAGACTAAATTTTATTGGCTAGTGGTGTTCTACCCCCACAGCCCCAACGACCCAAATGAGACCGTGTCCTGCTGTAGAGCCCTGGCAGGCCTGGAGCTAGGTGTGCAGAGACCTTGTGCTGCTTTCCTGAGTGCTGGGATTGTGTTGGGCAGACAACACAGTCAAGAACGCTGGCTGCTCCTCTAGAACCTCAGTTTGGCTCCCAGCACCCACAGCTCACGACCACTGTAACTCCGCCGCCAGGAGGTCCAGGGCCCTTTTTCTGGACTGTAGAGGCACTAATCCCAGTACATATGTGGTACACAGACATACATGTAGACCTCTGTAGACCAGGCTAGCCTTGCACTCAGAGATCCACCTACCTCTGCCTCCTGAGCACTGGGGTAAAAGGCGTTCTCCACCACTGCTCAATTACAAACAACTTTTTGGTAAGTTTTTTTTTTTTTTCCTTTTTTTTTTTTCCCCCGGGATCAATTCTGTTTATCCATCAGCTCATAGAGTTGCCATATCTATCCTCATAGTAATTAAATGTTAATCATCAGATTAACATTCTTACAGCTCTACTCATTAGATCCTCTACCTGAATAAATACCAATTTTGTTTCAGGAATTGCAAAGCCATGAAATGATATAATTGCCTAAAAGGTTAGTTCTGACCTAGGTCTTCAGTGCATTGTAAAGCATGTTAACAAAGTGTTGCTGTCTTCTTTCCAGCTGAACTATCCCAAGCAATAAACAGTGGTACACTGTTACCGAAACCATCCCCACCCTTACCACCCAAGAGAGGCATTCCATCAACCTCAGGACCCACCTCAGAGCCTGCTTCTTCACCCACAAGAAAAACAGCAAGTGATCAAAGAGAAAAAACTGTCACTGTGTGTTCGGATCCACCGATGATAATCCCGCCTTCCTCCCCATCACCCCCACTGCCTACCCACATACCTCCAGAGCCCCCACGGTCCCCACCATTCCCTGCTAAGACTTTTCACGTTGTGTCAGAAGTTGAGTTTTCCCCTCCCTTAGATCTATCCCAGGACATATCCCAGCAGGAAGATCAGAAAAAGGAAGTCCCCAAGAAGATACAGGACCAGAACTTCGGGGAGCCCCACATACCCTCCAGGCTGCCCCCACTCCCGCTGCATATCCGAATTCAGCAGGCCCTGACTAGCCCCCTTCCTGTGACTCCTCCCTTGGAAGGCGCTCACAGAGCTCACTCACAGCTGTTTGAGAGCAGTGACAGCTTCTCTGAGGACAGTGGGACCCTGGGTCGGACCCGGTCACTTCCCATCACGATTGAAATGCTGAAAGTGTGAGTGTTTCTGCCTGCCTCCTGTTTCTGTGCATAGTGTAGATAGCCACACGGGAAACACCCTTCCGAAAGTGCGGGTAAATGAAAGTTCAAGGAGTGCTCTGCCCAGAGAGTCAGTCTAGAAACAGGGCCTTTTACCCTGCTGATTTCTCCAAACTTGTGGGTTTTTTTGTTTTGTTTTGTTTTGTTTTTGGTTTTTCGAGACAGGGTTTCTCTGTGTAGCTTTGCGCCTTTCCTGGAACTCACTTGGTAGCCCAGGCTGGCCTCGAACTCACAGAGATGCGCTTGGCTCTGCCTCCCGGGAGTGCTGGGATTAAAGGCGTGCGCCACCACCGCCCGGCACTTGTGGGGTTTTTAATGGATTTTTATGGTGATTTCTGTGTTGTCACCAAAATTACCTTTTGTAGATATGAGCATTAACACTATAAGTTTTACATGACACACATGTATTACATGCCCTGGGTTATCACATCTCTCCAACTCCTGGCATATCACTCAGCCTCTCTGTTCTTTTAATAGCTCATCTCTAAATGGGGGCAGTGTCCCCTCCAAAGGCTTCTGTGAAAGAAATGAGGCAAACTGTGAAATGTGCCAGTGTCTACTAAGAAATAGCCTGGGATTTGAACCCAGTGCTTTTTGGATTCATGATTTTTTGTTTGTTTGTTTGTTTTTGTTTTTTGAGACAGGGTTTCTCTGTGCAGTTTTGGTGCATGGATTCATGAATCTTAAAAGGCTTCTTGGGAAGAATGTTAACGGTTAAGACAGGGATTATGCATCTTTCCACTAATGGACTTCTTGTGTGTGTGTTTCAATCCTTTTGAAAAGCCTCATTGTTTCTGAAGAAAAAAACAAAACCATATACTTATATTCATTTGTTAGTCCAGACGATGAAGAAGAGGAGCAGACCTGCCCACTGGCGTTTGTTGAAGACATGACATCTACCTCAGTCACTCCTAAACTGCCACAGTGTCTGCAAGAGGAAGAAAAGGAGAGCGACTCGGATTCGGAGGGTCCCATTCAGTATCGAGACGAAGAAGATGAAGATGAGGAAGACGAAAGCCACCAGAGTAAGAAAGGGAGGGCAGGGGAGAGGGGGAGGTGTGTGTGCGTGTGCGTGTGCGTGTGTGTGTGTGTGTGTGTGTGTGTGTGTGTGTGTGTG